TGTGTCAGAGCTGTCCTGTACTGCGTGACTCAGGGTGTCAGAGCTGTACTGCACTGTGACTGTGACTCAGTGTGTCAGAGCTGTGCTGTACTGTGTGATTCAGTGTGTCAGAGCTGTACTGTACTGCACTGCACTGTCACTCAGTGTCCGAGCTTTACTGTACTGTGTAATTGTGTCAGAGCCGTACTGTACTGCACTGACTTTGATTCAGGGTGTCAGAGCTGTGCTGTACTGCGTGACTCAGGGTGTCAGAGCTGTGCTGTACTGTGACTCAGGGTGTCAGAGCTGTACTGCACTGTGACTCAGGGTGTCAGAGCTGTGCTGTAGTGTACTGCGTGACTCAGTGTCAGAGCTGTAATGCACTGTGTGATTCAGTGTCAGAGCTGTACTGTTCTGCACCGTCACTCAGTGTTTGAGAGCTGTGCTGTACTGTGTCCCCCAGCGTGTCAAGATTCGTACTGTGCAGTGAGGCTGACTGACCGCTAGCGGCTGCCGAGGGTGTCGTCTGAGTGTGGCGTTCCTGCCCGCGGCCGGGGCTCCTGCTGTTCGCGGACAGACACTGTCGCGCCGCTCGCAGCTCCTTCTGCGCCAGGCGCAGCCTCAGCTTCAGGCTCTCGTTCTCCTGCGCGCTGCGGGCGAGCCGGAGCTGGAAGTCGGCGAAGCTCTCCTCCACCAGCTTGGCAATCTCCCCCACGGCCGCTTTCAGCAGCAGCCGCATGACGGAGTCGAGCTGCGCTCGGAACGCCGCCGCCGTCGCCGCCTCCGACATCCCGGGTAAGCACTGAACCTCACCAGCAAGTCCAACCTGGAACCTAAACTGCGCCGTCGACTCGGTTTCGCCCCCGAAACAGGCACGCATCCAGCGCAGTTCCGCCTTCCTGGCTGGAGCCACGCCCCCAGCGGGGTCACCGGGTCACCCGCCTACCGTAGTGTCGGCACGATCGGCGCAGTTCGATTTCTAGGGTCCAGAGGAGCGCAGGTCTGTATGCGCTGACACTACTGTGAAATCGAAGACATGCGTCAGAGAGCCCTACATTCAGGACAGGTGGAATCCCCCGCCCGTAGATTTCAGTTCACTACAGACCTTTGAGCCTCCCTGCAAATTCCAACTGGAAATTTAATCAAAATAAATACTAAACGGTGTTCTTGATGTTCTAGTGCCACACTGCGCGGATTACTGGTCTCTGTTTGGGATGATCCCTTCAATTGCACCAGCAGCACACTGTGTAACACCAAAAAAAAAAAAAACGATCACTCCCACAGACAGCTTTGCGGTGTGGTGGTCGGCATTTGAACTCGGAACTACAGCGGTCATTCAATTCTGCGCTTCATTATTGCCCTACGCAGCCGCAGGTCGTCTCGCTGCAGAAACCTCATAATCCTGCGCCCGGAACATCGGGGGGAGGCGTGTTGGTGGGGGGTTGCATGAATCTGTGCTTTAAACAAACGCTGTGTGGACTCCATCTGTCCCGACGGGGGAACAGAGCGCAGCTGGAGCAGCAGCCCTGAACGAGCGCAGCTGCTCGCAGGCGCTGCGCAGACGTGCAGCCGCCTTCCCCGCACATCCAAATCCTACAGCCTGTTTCTTCTTGGCCCTCGACCGTGCCTCGCACCGCTGAGGACATACATACAGACACGCCAGACCTCCGGGGTGCCGTGGCGGACCAGCCCCGGGACGAGGTGGGTGTGTCTCCAGCGAGCGCCGGCGCCGGGGAGCCTCCCGCCTGTAACGGCTGGGACACCGTGACCGGCAGCAGAGTCGCCTCTAGCGCCGGTCCCGAATTGGACTGGGTCCGGGTTCGTGAACTGCAGCGTCCGGAGTCCAAAAGAGGCCAGGATCAAGGAAATACAGTACGTCAGGGACACGGGTGAACACGGTTAAACAAAATGTCTTGTTTTGAGACCCGAAGGTGTCGCTAATCGCGATGTAACGAACGATTCGGTGCCGTCAGGCTGTGTCGGTGCAAACACCGTGGCGGGACAGACACACAGACGGGGTGTCCCGGAGATCCCCAGTCCAGCAGCTGCGGCCGATTTCAGGCTGGACCCGGACGTGAAGCACTTGTACACAAAGGCAGCTGAGAGCAGGTGTCCCCTGTGCAGGTCTCAGAGGTCCAAACCTGTTGGCTTTCATTCCTGCACAGCGTCATTACTGAAGTGAACTAACGAGTTGACTGACTGGAATTTTTGCAAGTGTCTTTTCCTGCTCTGAAGCTTTGGGTTGTAGTTTATGACCCGCAGTGGTTTACAGGGGCCGTCCAGCAGGTTTAAGAGCTGACAACAGCTGAGATGTTTCAGATTGAGTGGCTGTTCCTGACTTCCTTGAACTGATCATCTTACCGACCTGATCAAACCCTCAGGGGTCCACACACTGGCCTCAGGGACCAGGGTGGGACAGCAGTGCTCTACAGTGGAGAGGATACGCTGGCACTGAGACTCCACATGCTGCACACAGGCCTCAGTGCCTCGGCCTCAGGGTGACTGGACAGACCCGTTGCACACCCCTGGACTCAAGATAAGATTTTTATCTTGTGGGGCCCAGTACCTGCAGGACAGCAGAAGCATTGCCGGTCTGTTGCTGCTTCCTCACTCTAGCGAGTCTGCGCAGACCCCATCTGCTCTCCGTCCCTCAGACAGCGGATCGGAATCGCCTCAGAAAGCCTCCGCTTCCTGCTTTTTCAACCGTCCTGGAAGTACTGGGCCAGAGGAAGGGGCTGAGCCAGGACGTGCAGTTCAGGACGGCTGGGAGGACTGGACAGGAAGTTCAGCTCTGAAAGTCACCTGAACAGCTGTTTTCAGGTGACTTGAGGGCAGCAGCTCCTTCCCCCAAAGCCTTCTGGGAAATGTGGCTCAGACAAGAATTTCCATTTTGTCCGAACCTGCTGCCCTCTTACACTTGCGTCTTGTTTATTGCTAATTAGTGTTACACAGACTCTCATTAACGGGTTCTGTCCAACTGGTTCTGCAGTCCAGCGGGTCTGGTCCTGTTGTCAGCCCCTGGAATGTTTACCTGCCATTACAGTTAGCACTGCGGTGCAGCGTAGAACAGGCTGGTTTTGTTCATTCTAGACATTTCAGCTGCTCCCCATGTAATCTGACGTTTCTGTTAACTCTTTCAGGCCGGGCCTGCGAGTCCAAAGCCCAAGGAAAA